CGCAGCCCAGCCATCCCGCTCAGCAGCCCAGCCAGCCCGGCCCAGCAGCCCGCTCAAGCAGCCCAGCCAGCCCGGCCCAGCAGCCCGGCTAGCAGCCCAGCCAGCCCGGTCCAGCAGCAAAGTCACCCACGCCCACCCACCACATCCTCGCCTAAGCGGAAAGGGATTCCGAATTTTGACTTGTCCCTTTCCTCGGACGAGGTGTGGATGGGCGGGTGGGTGTCGGCGACCAAGTATGTTGCTAGGCGGCTGACGGTGTCAGAATCTGACAGCTCACCGTCTCCCCAATCCAAAAGGCGGCACCTGGCTGGCAGTCAGGGTGAGTAAGTTCGAATTCGTTGTTCCGGTACATGTACTTTTAGAAGTAAAACAAATGTTTAGTAGTACATATTCTCAAATAAATGTGTGTTTGTGAAATACTAGTAATCATCTTTTCCCTGAAGTGTGCCCTGTCTTCGTTTACTGATATGTAGGTGATGCGTAGATTGAAGAGCAATTATTATGTTTCCATTTTCTTCTACAGGACGATGATGTGGGACGCTTGCTCCCAGCCAGTCAGCCCACCCCAGGAGCCAGCTAGTAGCTCCAAGCCATGCTCCAAGGGACCGGAAAGGAAAAGAAAGAAGACAACGGAGAAGAAAACAAGAAAGACGAGATTAGGGCGTATAGTGAGGCCAAAAAAAGGTTTACGCCCTCAGTTGTGTACTCTGACTCTGAGTAGGGTAGTAAACGTTAGTGTACAGGGGATTCCACTTATTTGCTTATAATTGCAAGTAACACCAGGTCCTCAAGTAGTCAACATACAGGAGATAGTGAGCAAATATCCTATGAAATGTATTTCCAGACCGGGGCTAAATTGGGCTCAGTGGGTGGTCTCCTGGATGGTAGTGTGGCATAAGTTCAAAATGCATAGGAAGATTAAGATGAGATAAAAGTCATGTATGACGAGGAACCTGTCAGCAAAGGGTAAATTTGAACTTTCGAAACCATTAATTTACTCGACATTCATTGTTCTTATCACAGTGACTGTAGACTGTCATTAATAATAAAATTGTTGTATTTACCCTTTGGGCATGAGCTTGCAATAGAAAATTATTATCATTCTCAGAGAACTTCTTGCGTGTTTCTCTTGGGAAGGACAGAGTAGTGATATGCAACAAAATGCTGACAGATCAGGTGTGACTAATTAATGATGGGACGCCACTGCAGATTCCATATGATAATTAATGAATTGATGAGGTGTCAGAGTTCACAATGCATGCTCATTTGGCTGCAGTGTGCAGACACGTCCGTTGACACGAAAAAACAGTGCCGAAAAGCTCTCCAAGTAAGTCTTCATATCGTTTGTGTCATTACTAATACTATTCATTGCAAGTAAGCTGTCACGGCCAGAGTGTTAGGCGAAAAGCGGGGGACAGTTGGATAATCTGGTAACTAATAACTTGCATAATTATGGCAGAAATAAGTTGCATGTATATGGTGTCAAGTAACACAGCGATCGCTCGAATTACTTGCAGCGTTGTGAAGAATTTACAGATTGAGGTTCAAGGAATGGAACAGGAGAAGGAGAGGGCATCACATGAGGAGGAGGAGGAGAGGAGAACACATGAGGAGGACAGGAGAAGACAGGAGGAGGTAAGGATGACACATGATGAGGAGACGAGAAGACAGGAGGAGGTGTGGAGAAGACGGGAGGAGGAGGCGGAGGAACAAAGGTCGGTAGCTAGGATACAAGTCCTGGAAACATTAGAGGTTAAGGGATAATTCAGTTTCCCGTCCCCATGATGCATTGCGAAAACAGGGTGGCATACGTGCGACGTCAGCATTGGGTGAAAGTTCGTTGGCCACTCCGACAGCAGAGTGCTGGCTTCCTTTTTCGACATTACGACAGATATTTCTTTAAGCCACGAGGAGATACTTCAAGTCTAAGAAGGACCGCTGGGCACTTACCCAGATGAGAAAGATGTAGCTCAGTGTCACGAGGCTTACATTTATTTTAAGCCGGGTTCTTTCATACGTTCTATTTCCATGCCATTGGAAGAGCCATTTGTATAGTGCTTTAATTTTGTAATACATGTACTATTGTATGGGGGAGTCTAGGTGTGTAAATCCTTTCTCTGTAGAGGGGGGGGGGTGGGAGAAGTCCATGTTAGAGTGAGAGGGGAGAGATAGTTAAAAGAAATTAGTTTTACAAAAATGTCTGACCTCATATCGTTTCAGAAACTGGATAGGAGACTGAAGGCGTTTTAGCAGGCAAAAGACAGCTGGCCGGAGAGGTCTAAGAGACAAGCTGAGGAGGCACTACAGAAGGACATTATGTCCTCCGAGTTAAGCGACAGTGACACGGATAGGTCTTCAAGGTGAGAAGACTGGCCGGGGAGTCCGGAAAACTGAGGAACCTGAAGGACTCCCCGGACGATGTGGTTCCAGCGAAGGGCACGCCTTTGGGAGGTGTCTGAGGATATCTTAGAGAGAAAGCTTCCTGACGGGCCCAGAAGTGGAAAATCAGTTAGCGGTACGGACGAAATTCCACACCAGACACGGAAGTCGGGGAGGAGGATAGCCAGGACAGTAGTTGTATGGATTAGGCTTTGAGACTGTGTCTTCTTTAATAGTTTTTGTTCCTTACATGTAGCTCTGTTCATGTAATTATGCCATTTCATTCAAAAATATCAGGAAATGATATCAGTAATTTATCTTGGATGCCTATCATTTATCAACGTACTTTGAGTCCGCAGGAAATTATTAAAGTAGTTTACCTCCATCAAAGTATTTTTAGTTATTTGTGTTTGGTTTGTTTTTGTTATCCTTGAACGATAAAAAGAATGTTGACGGCATATTATGTACGATTTGGGAATATTTAGGGTAGCATAGTTACATGCCCGTAGCCAGGGGGGGTTCGGAAGAACCCCCCCACAAGGCTCAAAGGTCCACTTTTTGGTCCACTTTTTATGTAAAGGTCCACTTTTTGGTCCACTTTTTATGTAAAGGTCCACTTTTTATGTAAAGGTCCAAGAGTTTTCTTGAAAAGATGGACTGGAATCGTAGAAAAACTGCTCCCTTTGTCATTGAATAAAAACTTATCTCCGATTTTTTTCTTTGAAATCCTCTCAAAAAACGCACGAAATGCCATTTTAGAAGGTTAATTTTTCAAAATTTTCCGGGGGAGCATGCCCCGGACCCCCCAAGGAACCTCGCCCATTCGGCGCTCGCCTCGCGCCTACGGCGCTCGAGGTCCCCTCAAGCAGTCGGAAGAACCCCCACATTCAAAATCCTGGCTACGGGCATGAGTTACAAGGTTTAATGTTGTAACATGAATATATAACGCTTACTTTACGCTTCGTAAATCTTTTAAGCATTTTAAAGTACGCTTAATACTGGTACACAACGAGTATTAAACGTATAGTGTTTAAGGGTGGCTTAAATAAGTGCCATTACGCATTTTACGGACAAATTAAGCTAGCTTAAATCACGGCACTTTAAGGAGCTTATATGTAGTTAATATATGTAGTGTAAACATTAAGATTTAGGTTGAGTTTACGGTGCTTAGAACTTGCTTAAATGAGTGCCATTAAGCACCTTTACGGACTAATAAAGTTAGCTTAAATCACTACTTTTAAGGACATTTTAGGACGCTTAAATGTAGCTTAAATATCAATATTTAAGCTTACTTTACAGTGCTTAAATGTTGCTTAAAAGAGAACAATTAAGCTCCATTACGGACAAACTTAAAACTAGCTTAAAATTGATATTTAAGCACTAGTAAAGATTTCTTAAATATGCTTAAAGAATGCCAAAACGGATCCCTTAAGTATGCTTTAAGACTGCTTAAATAGCCTATTTCGTGCAGAGATTTAAGTATACAAATCCCTGGCGAGGTTCCATTCGCTGTATGATATCTACGCATGTCTACATATGTGATGAAGATATCTACATCACTTCCCTGCCTTAACTCTTTTTAGATGTCAACACAGTTGAAGGTGGCAGATTCACTGATGAGGTTAGTCAAGTGTACATGATGTTGTTAAGCATTCAATACTGGATGGAAAAACATTGAACAAATCATACGAGCAGTGCTAC